CAGACACAGATAACAGACACTGAAGACAGACAGGCCCAGACAGCAGACACAGATAACAGACACTGAAGACAAAGCCATCAGTGTTTAATCTAGAACAGGGTAAATATGTGTCATAGCAACACAGGTATGTAGTCCCCAGGTATACTCACTTTTGTACACGTTCTAGGTTCTTTGTGTTTGCTATCGATCGTGCACGATGGAACCAGACGTAATTGATCCAGTAATTGTAATTTCAAGCATCACCTCCAGGCTGCAAACAGTTTTAGTGGTCCATTGATCTTCTCCATCATCGCCCTGATCGTGTTGTGCACAATACTTAGAAACCATATTTGTTTGTTGGGCAAACCAACATAACGTTCGGTCACTAGGATATGTATGTAACATCACCAATGTCTGAACTGTCCCAACTGTTTAAAACATTATCAAACAGCCAGGATTGTTTATGTCGCACCTGGTTGTCAGTTTAACAAACAATGTATGACGTCACTAGATTCCTGAGTAACATGTCGCTGGGCCTGTATATGTGTATTGTCAGGACAAAGTTACTGCTGTGAGATATGTGTGAGACAAAGTTACTGCTGTGAGATATGTGTGAGACAAAGTTACTGCTGTGAGATATGTGTGAGACAAAGTTGTTGCTGTGAGATATGTGTGAGACAAAGTTACTGCTGTGGGATATGTGTGAGACAAAGTTACTGCTGTGGAATATGTGTGAGACAAAGTTACAGCTGTGAGATATGAGTGAGACAAAGTTACTGCTGTGGGAAATGTGTGAGATAAAGTTACTGCTGTGGGATATGTGTGAGACAAAGTTACTGCTGTGAGATATGTGTGAGACGAAGGTACTGCTGTGAGATATGTGTGAGAGGAAGGTACTGCTGTGAGATATGTGTGAGACGAGGTTACTGCTGTGACATATGTGTGAGACGAAGGTACTCCTGTGAGATATGTGTGAGACAAAGATACTGCTGTGGGATATGTGTGAGACGAAGTTACTGCTGTGAGATATGTGTGAGACAAAGTTACTGCTGTGAGATATGTGTGAGACAAAGTTACTGCTGTGAGATATGTGTGAGACAAAGGTACTGCTGTGAGATATGTGTGAGACAAAGTTACTGCTGTGAGATATGTGTGAGACAAAGTTACTGCTGTGAGATATGTGTGTGAGACACTGCTGTGAGAAGGTACTGCTGTGATGTGTGATATATGTGTGAGACAAAGTGTGTGAGATATGTGTGTGACAAAGGTTACTGCTGTGAGATATGTGTGAGACAAAGTTACTATCTGTGAGATATGTGTGAGACAAAGTTACTGCTGTGAGATATGTGTGAGACGACTACAAAGTTACTGTGAGATATGTGTGAGATATGTGTGAGACAAAGTTACTGCTGTGAGATATGTGTGGAGACAAAGTTACATCTGTGAGATATGTGTGAGACAAAGTTACTGCTGTGAGATATGTGTGAGACAAAGTTACTGCTGTGGATATGTGTGTGAGACAAAGTTACTGCTGTGAGATATGTGTGAGACAGAAGTTACTGCTGTGAGATATGTGTGAGACAAAGTTACTGCTGTGAGATATGTGTGAGACAAAAGTTACTGCTGTGAGATATGTGTGTGAGACAAAGTTACTGAGACAAAGTTACTGCTGTGAGATGAGACAAAGTTACTGTGAGATCTGTGTATGTGTGAGACAAAGTTACTGCTGTGAGATATGTGTGAGACAGAAGTTACTGCTGTGAGATATGTGTGTGAGACAAAGTTACTGCTGTGATATGTGTGAGACAAAGACAAAGTTACTGCTGTGAGATATGTGTGAGACAAAGTTACTGCTGTGAGATATGTGTGAGACAAAGTTACTGCTGTGAGATATGTGTGAGACAGAATATGTACTGCTGTGAGATATGTGTGAGACAAAGTTACTGCTGTGGGATATGTGTGAGACAAGTTACATCTGTGAGATATGTGTGAGACAAAGTTACTGCTGTGAGATATGTGTGAGACAAAGTTACTGCTGTGAGATATGTGTGAGACAAAGTTACTGCTGTGAGATATGTGTGAGACAAAGTTACTGCTGTGAGATATGTGTGAGACAAAGTTACTGCTGTGAGATATGTGTGAGACAAAGTGACTGTGAGATATGTGTGAGACAGAAGTTACATGTGAGATACTGTGTGAGATATGTGTGAGACAAAGTTACTGCTGTGAGATATGTGAGATATGTGAGACAAAGTTACACCTGTGAGATATGTGTGAGACAAAGTTACTGCTGTGAGATATGTGTGAGACAAAGTTACTGCTGTGAGATATGTGTGAGACAAAGTTACTGATGTGAGATATGTGTGAGACAAAGATACACCTGTGAGATATGTGTGAGACAAAGTTACTGCTGTGAGATATGTGTGAGACGAGGTTACTGCTGTGAGATATGTGTGAGACGAAGGTACTGCTGTGAGATATGTGTGAGACGAAGTTACTGCTGTGAGATATGTGTGAGTCGAAGTTACTGCTGTGAGATATGTGTGAAACGAAGTGACACCTATGAGATATGTGTGAGACGAAGTGACACCTGTTGGATATGTGTGAGACAAAGTTAAACTTGTCGGATATGTGTGAGACAAAGTGACACCAGTGGGTTATGTGTGAAATAATGTTACACTTGTCGGATATGTGTGACAAAGTGACACATGTGGCATATGTGTGAGACAAAGTCACACTCGAGGGATGTGTGTGAATCAAAGTGACACCTGTGGGATGTGTGTGAGACAAAGTGACACTCGTGGGATATTTGTGAGACATGTGTGAGGCGTGTGTGAGACGAAGGTACTGCTGTGAGATATGTGTGAGACGAAGTGACATCTGTGGGAAATGTCTGAGACAAAGTGACACCTGTGGGATATGTGTGTGACAAAGTGACACATGTGGCATATGTGTGAGACAAATTCACACTCGAGGGATGTGTGTGAGACAAAGTGACACCTGTGGAATGTCTGTGAATCAAAGTGACACCTGTTGGATGTGTGTGAGACAAAGTGACACTCGTGGGATATTTGTGAGACATGTGTGAGGCGTGTGTGAGACGAAGGTACTGCTGTGAGATATGTGTGAGACGAAGTGACACCTGTGGGATATGTGTGAGACGAAGTGACACCTGTGACATGTGTGAGACAGAAGTGACACCTGTGACATGTGTGAGACGAAGTGACACTCGAGGGATATGTGTGAGACGAAGTGACACCTGTGGGATGTGTGTGAGACGAAGTGACAGCTGTGGGATATGTGTGAGACGAAGTGACAGCTGTGGGATGTGTGTGAGAGGAAGTGACACCTTTGGGATGTGTGTGAGACGAAGTGACACCTGTGGGATGTGTGTGAGGGACTGTTTACTGATGTGGCGTTACTACCAGTGTTACAAATAATGACAGATTCCAACCTGTCAGGTTATTATGTGTTGTGCTTTCTATACAAACACACCATTCACTCCGAGCTGCCAAGGTATTACCACTGTTATGTACGTAATAAGTCAATGTCACTCCATGATACTACTATATTCATTCCTATCTGCAATAATAAATGAAAGTTACATCATAGGAATATTGACGGTGTACCCACTTAATTATTAGAAATATAAGTTTACGAATTTCTGTTTGATAACAGCACATAGAATATATTTGGGAAACATATTTTATTCAGATAAACTGTATGTACAAGAAGCAATCTCAGTGCAGTGAGCCTGGTACTTACAGACATTAAAGCTCTTCGATATGCAGCAAGCATTGATGTACATCCTTCATCACTGGTGATAATAGTCCAGGCATAACTGTTCACGATACAAACATTACATTGATTGTAAAAACACCATTAACAATAGCAAAGAATAATTCAACATATTTAACATACAGAAACGCTATAAGCATACCTGATAATGAAGGATATATAAAACAGAACAGGCTAGCAGGTAACCTCCCAAAACTTAGGCAGACATTTCTTAGACAACTTAAAACAACAACATTTCTGGTTCAGAGTACACAACTAATCCTCAAGCTGATACCTATTTCTTATAATGGATCAGTCCGGTAGAATCAATTAGACAAGGCGTTATGTTCATTCAGCATATTTATTAAGTTCAACAGAGATAAAAAAATAAATAGTAAATAATAAATATGGTATGCTGATCATGCCATTCCATTAAGTAGCATTCCACCAAAAAATCATGCAGAGGTGGATAAGTCCAAAATTTCATATTCACTTGAAATTGTGTCATTCTCTTTATTTGGCCTTGTAAAATGTCATGTCACTCAGAAATGTTTCTGTTCTCAATATTTTTCATTAATTAGCCGTTAATTAAAGTTCTACGAAATTGACCCAGAATCGCATGTGAAAATGTAGGAAAATACTATTTTTCAGTTGACAATATTGTTAAAACCATTCATGCTGTTAGAATTATTTTACTTTCTATTGAAAGAATACATATTCCTTTCACTTCAGTTATATTTTTTAAGAGTTGATGAAGTAACGGGTATTCTGACCCGTTGGTTGGTTGGTTGTTTGCTTGGTAAGTTGCTTAGTAAGTTTAGTTACTAAGTTAAATACATAATTGAACAAATAAATAAATATATAAATCTAAAAATATAATATACAGTAACCCTACTCGGACAAACAGCATTCGGCCATATAATAAAACATTCTCACTACATATTTCAATCCGAAGATAGCATACCACATGCATACATCAAATATTCACAACAACATATTCACAAGGCGGGTACACACATGTACAGAGCAAAGGCAAGGGAGGATCTAAAATACAGACTAGAGTGAGGATACCATGGAATACAGGTATTCACAAAATAGGACAATCATACATCTCCATGACATTTCATCTATGTGTTATGTAACCGGTATTTCACCTCCAGAAAAGAGAGACAGCATTTCATGTTCTGACAGTAATTCTATTTGTACAGATACATTGACATGAAAAACATCTAAACGGTTTGGAAAGAACTGATTCCTGTTGTACATATAATGTTCACAATGTAGATCTATATAGCAGTTATAGTCATTACATTTTGAAAATTTTGCTTGAGAATAAATTATTTGTGCGTTTGTACATAAAAAATCATCAGGTGAGAGTCGAGGTGATGAAGGAGAAAGCACACACTCCAAAACGTCGTGTTATTCACAATAATGAAGTTGACATCCATAAATCTTGCTTTTCTTATGCATTCCTCTTCTAAATGTCCTTCATACATTTACACATACTTTACAGTTTCAATTGTTTTATTTATTTACAAGCTAGGTCAACTCAGCAGGGAACACTAATTAGGACCGTTCCATTTCAGCCATGGGTGTTGTCTTAATTAATCCCCTTCATTAGTGTCTAAGATATGGCTGTCTAAGTTTTGGGAGATAACCTGCTAGCAGTAAGTACGTGTTGAGTATATACACTACGTGTGCCGGAGTCTCAGCAGCATGTCCTGGCACAGTGACAGTGGTGTATTTACAGAGGTATGTAGTCGTAGTCCAGTCGTTTTCGCAACGTTGTGGGAAGGTTGTAGATTGGTAACGTCAGGACACATCGTTGTCACAACGTTAGTATTACGCCATTTTATAACGTTATCTCACAACGTAATAATAATCTTGCAAATTTACGTTGAGGAAACGTTACGCTTTATGCTCGTCACAACGTTATAATAGCGTTTCTTATAAATTGTTGTCACGATAGAGTTTTCTGTAAAACCTTTCACTTTGAGATTCTTTCTTCACTATTTTGCTGTAGTTTCAGAAAACACACGACCAAAACTACATGCAAATTGACGGATAAACATTGAAGTGAATTCCTGCTTTGTTTCTCTATGTACTGTTCACTACTGGGAAAACTGTTCAACTATTAACGTTAAATTGAACGTTAATGTAAAATACGTTAGCATCTTATAACTTTAACACTGTGACAACGTAATCGGGAGTCCCCAGGATAACGTTGTTACAACGACAGCATGACGCTGTCACAACGTTGTGACAACGTGACATTGTTAGCTGGGATACTACGTCCGAAGACCAAAAGTGATGTCTACTCGAACTCAACATCGAAAGTTCTGCAACAGACGCCGAAATCCTTTATACATCTCGTAAAATTGCAAATGTCCATCTTTGTTCTTAAAATACAGTGTCTCATCCAATGACCCCAAATTGTTTCATCGTTTTGTATATGTACTGAACAGCATTAGAAACGCACCACACTAAAATGCACCGACGATGCTCAGATATCATGGGTACAATTCAGTCGGACGGGGATATTTTGTATTATATGGGTGGTGCGTTTCTAATGTTGTTCAGTATACGTAAATGTTTTTATTTTAGTCATTTATTTTATCAGATATGTTCACATTACTTCAAGTTGACATATGACGTTGGTGGACGTCGCGGTGTCCACCTAAGAGTGGTCGTTATGGAGACGGACACTCTCGGACACTGGGATGCACAAGTCCAGGAACTGACAGACCAGTCCGATGAACAGACAGACGTAGGAGACAACGACCAGAGCAAACGACCAGCCGAGGTCGTAGGTGGTCTCGCTCCACACTTCACCATAGCGTCCAGCGTACACCACGAACCCGATGAAGATGAAGAAAACTGAAATAACAAGACTGCACTGAAAGGATGCAACTACCACCGATACATGTGCCTCAGTTATAATTATATCGATATGAAGAAAGCTTAAATATCGTCAGACGAATCACAGTTGTGTGAACAAGCATACACCATTCAAAGCCAAAGTGAAGATTTGAAAAAGTTGTACAGCAGACATATAACCTACTTGATGTTTGATTCATTTGCTTCTTGAGGCATATGTTTAATACATGCTGGTAGTTACAATCGTAGATCGGACTTCTCTGATTATAGAAAGTGTATATTATCTTATATTTTACATGTTATACGGTGTTACGGGGCAACATGCAGCATTGTCTTTGATGCACACATGATTGAACGGGTACAGTACATGTTCCAGCAATATTCTAGCTATATTGCGGCGATCTTTAGATATTCGAGTCTGGGTCAGACAATCCAGTGATCAACATGGGCGCCGATCTACACAATTGCGATACGGTGAGATGTGTCAACCAAGTCAGCAAGCCTCGCCACCCGATCCCGGTAGTCGCCTCTTACGACAAGCCTGGGTTGATGAAGACCAATCCTAACCCGAATCTTCACGGGTAGGCTCAGAACATAAAAGGATATCCAAATGATCCTGGTATGCTCTCCTTTCAATGTCCACTTACAACCGTATATACTGGTGAGTTTGTAAACCAAGCAATATAATTGAAAGATCGCAAAAGAAACCTTAACTATTGTAAATCAAATTCATCTCTTGTCCAGCGGCGTGGCTCAACAGTAAGACGTGGTTAGAAGCGACGACAGTATACATGCTGTATGCATCATAACAGCTGCTCTGTGGTGTATGTATATGATACGTAACAGACAATATGTATGTATATGATACGTAACAGACAAGAGGTATGTATATGATACGTAACAGACTAGAGGTATGTATATGATACGTAACAGACAAGATGTGTGTATATGATACGTAACAGACAATATGTATGTATATGATACGTAACAGACTAGAGGTATGTATATCATACGTAACAGACAAGATGTATGTATATGATACGTAACAGACAAGAGGTATGTATATCATACGTAACAGACAAGATGTATGTATATGATACGTAACAAACAGATAAGATGTATATGATATGATACAGACTACAGACGTGATACGTAACAGACAAGAGGTATGTATATGATACGTAACAGACAAGATGTATGTATATGATACGTAACAGACAAGATATATGTATATCATACGTAACAGACAAGATGTATGTATATCATACGTAACAGACGTAACAGACAAGAGGTATGTATATGATACGTAACAGACAAGATGTATGTATATATCATACGTAACAGACAAGAGGTATGTATATGATACGTAACAGACAAGAGGTATGTATATGATACGTAACAGACAAGACATATGTATATGATACGTAAGAGACAAGAGGTATGTATATGATACGTAACAGACTAGAGGTATGTATATGATACGTAACAGACAAGAGGTATGTATATGATACGTAACAGACTAGAGGTATGTATATGATACGTAACAGACAAGATGTGTGTATATGATACGTAACAGACAATATGTATGTATATGATACGTAACAGACTAGAGGTATGTATATCATACGTAACAGACAAGATGTATGTATATGATACGTAACAGACAAGAGGTATGCATATCATACGTAACAGACAAGATGTATGTATATGATACGTAACAGACAAGATGTATGTATATGATACGTAACAGACGTAACAGACAAGAGGTATGTATATGATACGTAACAGACAAGATGTATGTATATGATACGTAACAGACAAGATATATGTATATCATACGTAACAGACAAGATGTATGTATATCATACGTAACAGACGTAACAGACAAGAGGTATGTATATGATACGTAACAGACAAGATGTATGTATATGATACGTAACAGACAAGAGGTATGTATATGATACGTAACAGACAAGAGGTATGTATATGATACGTAACAGACAAGACATATGTATATGATACGTAAGAGACAAGAGGTATGTATATGATACGTAACAGACAAGAGGTATGTATATGATACGTAACAGACAAGACATATGTATATGATACGTAACAGACAAGAGGTATGTATATGATACGTAACAGACAAGAGGTATGTATATGATACGTAACAGACAAGACATATGTATATGATACGTAACAGACAAGATGTATGTATATGATACGTAACAGACAAGAGGTATGTATATGATACGTAACAGACAAGATGTATGTATATGATACGTAACAGACAAGATGTATGTATATGATACGTAACAGACAAGATGTATGTATATGATACGTAACAGACAAGAGGTATGTATATGATACGTAACAGACAAGAGTATGTATATATATGATACGTAACAGACAAGATGTATGTATATGATACGTAACAGACAAGAGGTATGTATATGATACGTAACAGACAAGAGGTATGTATATGATACTGTAACAGACAAGAGGTATGTATATGATACGTAACAGACAAGAGGTATGTATATGATACGTAACAGACTAGAGGTATGTATATGATACGTAACAGACAAGATGTATGTATATGATACGTAACAGACAATATGTATGTATATGATACGTAACAGACTAGAGGTATGTATATCATACGTAACAGACAAGATGTATGTATATGATACGTAACAGACAAGAGGTATGTATATCATACGTAACAGACAAGATGTATGTATATGATACGTAACAGACAAGATGTATGTATATGATACGTAACAGACAAGAGGTATGTATATGATACGTAACAGACGTAACAGACAAGAGGTATGTATATGATACGTAACAGACAAGATGTATGTATATCATACGTAACAGACAAGATGTATGTATATCATACGTAACAGATGTAACAGACAAGAGGTAAGTATATGATACGTAACAGACAAGATGTATGTATATGATACGTAACAGACAAGAGGTATGTATATGATACGTAACAGACAAGAGGTATGTATATGATACGTAACAGACAAGACATATGTATATGATACGTAACAGACAAGAGGTATGTATATGATACGTAACAGACAAGAGGTATGTATATGATACGTAACAGACAAGACATATGTATATGATACGTAACAGACAAGAGGTATGTATATGATACGTAACAGACAAGAGGTATGTATATGATACGTAACAGACAAGACATATGTATATGATACGTAACAGACAAGATGTATGTATATGATACGTAACAGACAAGAGGTATGTATATGATACGTAACAGACAAGAGGTATGTATATGATACGTAACAGACAAGAGGTATGTATATGATACGTAACAGACAAGATGTATGTATATGATACGTAACAGACAAGAGGTATGTATATGATACGTAACAGACAAGAGGTATGTATATGATACGTAACAGACAAGATGTATGTATATGATACGTAACAGACAAGAGGTATGTATATGATACGTAACAGACAAGAGATATGTATATGATACGTAACAGACAAGAGGTATGTATATGATACGTAACAGACAAGAGGTATGTATATGATACGTAACAGACAAGAGGTATGTATATGATACGTAACAGACAAGAGGTATGTATATGATACGTAACAGACAAGAGGTATGTATATGATACGTAACAGACAAGATGTATATATATGATACGTAAAAATATAGCCACTTACTTCAGGCAACTGTTCTAAACTAGTTTTTGCAAGATATTCCATATTGTTTAAAGGTACTGTTTAGTCATGAACTGATGTATTGTAAAACATATTCGTAACATTAAAAGATTATTGTCATGAGTTCAGTAAATGATAAAAATCTGTGAAAATTGGCGAATTCTTAACAAAACTTTACACCAAAACGCAGCTGTTCACATGCACGACATTTGCACATGCCTTTCAGCAATTGATGCATGATCCTCGTGCAATTCATCTGCATAAGGTTTACAATTGGTTCCCCCAAGTTGGTGGAGAAATTCATCTTCGACGTAACCACATATATTTACATAACATATAGTGAGAGCTTTAAGTGAGTCTAAACTTTTGATTGGTAGTATAGATTCGTGAATAATTCCAACATGGCAGCGTGATGTGTCTGAGGAGCTCTACTCACTAGATGTGCTGTTGACCACGATGGCTATGAGTCTCAGGAACCGGTTGTTGTTGAGGATGACGGTGTAGACGATGGCGGTGACCAGGGCGGCCACTAGGAACAGGAAGCCGATGATCTGGAACGCCTGAGACACTTTGTACCAGTCTTTGGCTGAGGACAGAGGAAGGTTGACAGATAACACTCAGTGATGGACAATGAGAATATGGCACCAGGACTAATAACCCTTGACTGAACAAACTGAAGGATCTTAAACTTGGTTTCATAGATGAAAATGTGTTTTCAGTAATCAGACTTGTGGTCCACACATATCAAGCGATCACGATTAAATTCAGATCAAAGAGTTCATTGTGTAGAAACACTATCTTGATTGTAAGGGAATAGATATTTTACTGAGAAAGTAGTTCAAATTCCACATTTAAATGATTGCAGATTTATGATCATTTTACAAATATACAGTACAAATATATATTTTTATCGTCGTTATTGGTTCGTGAGGCAAATCGTCTACTGCAGCGCTATGTGCTATTTGGGTTGCATCCTTCAGGTGTGCAGGTATCAGCTGATCGTGGGTTCGAATCCATAATCCATGTCAGCAACCTATCTGTGCTCATTTCATGCAAGCTGTAAACATCTAACACTTGAATCGCGAAACGTGCCACATCAAGACAGAGCAGAAATAGTGTTCGAAACAGTGTCCAATCCCTTTAACATGAAATGTATTTCCTTTCTGTCCGAAAGAATACTGACGGACTATTGTACGAGTGGGCTAATAGCTATGTCTACATCTTGTTCATTGGTTGAATATCACTCAGAAGTCGATAGTTAATCAATACACGGCCGTTTTGCTCTTGCAACTTCCAGAAAAGTGGAAACGGTCACGCTTGGTTACCTACACTATCCTTCACATTAGACTAGTGCGATCACGTGACATCGGAACCACCACCATTGATTGTTGTTTCTACTTCTGCCGTAGATACGTCACATAATTCATCAATTACGATAATGTTGGTGTCCTTCCCTTCATCAGTGACGTATTGATTGTGTTCTGGTTGAGAATATTATCTAAAGTACACAGTCTGTTCAGTCATGCACTAATGTTGTGTCGCTTCCAAAGATACGCCGCCATTCATCTGCTGCATATAGAACAGCATTAAAGTTACATGGAGATGATGCCAGTCTGTGGAAGTAGTCATGGTAACCCCATAATATTTACCACATGTACGTCAATATTACACATTGTCAGTACACAGTTGCCGTTTATGTCACGTTTTACAGTTCACTGTTCCAGATCGTAGGCACCAAGGTGTGTACCAAGTCTTTAGTCCCGAAGGTCCGGTTCGGTATCGAGCAATAAATGGTGTCGACATTTCACCTACAACTGAGCCTTCTTCTTACTCCATCACTTATAAAGAACATAACACGAATCTTGCTCATAATCTATTTAATCAGAGATACTTCATGCAAGGTTTTACTAATAGTGGAGGACATTTTCAAATTTCACGCATCAGTGACTAATATTATGTCTGATGCGATTAATGTTTTGAAATGTCTTCTTGTGTTTGCAGAGATGAAGACTTGCCTTGCTGTTGCGTGTGTTTTGTGTCACCAATTGCAAAGATTACATGGTATCGTCGCTATTCACGAGTAAATCCTGAACATATGATTGTGACATTTCGGAAACTTAAAAATTAAAATTGGACATTTTCATAATTCCGAAATTTCCGTAATCAGTTTTAAGAAACGGACAATACGTGTATGAGAGCACAAAGATACTCGGGCGAGATATAATACTGTAGAGGGGCGTAATATCTGGTTTGAGATAAAGCAGTTGGTTACGACACATATTTTTTATATTCGTAAGCGATGTCAATATGTGGCTCTTGAATGAGATATTAGTGATGCTGACAACTGAAGCTATAACATGACGGCAGAACTAGTGATGGTGTAATCTAAGCATCTTCAGTTCAATATCCGTGTGTTAATGGCCATGTTGGCAGACTCCATCATATTTGCCACGTCCGTCTCTTCACTGCATTGCTTGCAGTTGGTGGTACAGGTTTTGTCATTGAACATTTGGGGCTTAAAAGTACCAACTTGGCACATTTATACATTGAACCAGTCCGAACATTTATCAGATATGGATCCAGGTCAGCAGCGCCCCGAGGTGTGGACAGTCTAAGGTGGCCGTCCACATGGCTGAAATCCCTTATGTTCCCATCGCATTCTCACCATATCGAACTATCTGGTTTATGTGGCGATGTGATTAGATGCTAAAACTGTTTATTATCATAATATATAATCACTAAAATGACTCAAACTCAGTATCATTTCCTCTGTTCCGATAATGTCTTTCAGAATGCACATGTTTTGGTACCAAAAAGCAGTCATACGAAGCAAGATCGGTTCTTGTTATGTCGATCTGCGCTATTATCGGGCTAAGTAACTCGAATTAAAGGTGTAACACTCTATAGAGGTCTCATACTGTAGTGCGGTATGATACTGTCGTGAGGTCTCATACTGTAGTGTGATATGATACTATCGTGAGGTCTCATACTCTAGTGCGGTATGATACTGTCGTGAGGTCTCATACTGTAGTGCGGTATGATACTATCGTGAGGTCTCATACTGTAGTGTGATATGATACTATCGTGAGGTCTCATACTGTAGTGCGGTATGATACTATCGTGAGGTCTCATACTGTAGTGCGGTATGATACTATCGTGAGGTCTCATACTGTAGTGCGGTATGATACTATCGTGAGGTCTCATACTGCAATGCGGTATGATACTGACTCGAGGTCTCATACTGTAGTGCGGTATGATACTATCGCGAGGTCTCATACCGTAGTGTGGTATGATACTGTAGTGAGGTGTGGTACTTGGCTAGGGTTCCATACTGCAGTTATGAGTTATGATGCTAAAAGTAGTTAGGTATGACATAAGGGTGAGATGATACTGTAGAAAGGTATAATACTTGAGGGAGATGTAATACTTTACAGTGGTGTTATACTGTAGAAAGGTATAATACTTGAGGGAGATGTAATACTTTACAGTGGTGTTATACTTGGGTGAGATACAATACTGTGGTGAGATATAATAGTTGGGTGAGATACAATACTGTGATGGGGTATAATACTTTGGTGAAATACAATACTGTGGTGAGATATAATAGTTGGGTGAGATACAATACTGTGATGGGGTATAATAGTTGGGTGAGATACAATACTGTGGTGAGATATAATACTTTGGTGAGATACAATACTGTGGTGAGATATAATAGTTGCGTGAGATACAATACTGTGGTGGGGTATAATACTTGGGTGAGATGTAATACTTTAGTGAGGTGTAAGGTACTGCGATGTTCTTAGATACTGTAGAGAGTGAATGATAGTTACCCGTGTTTTGGTCGGCAGTAATACAACCCAGCAGGTCCCCACAGTGTCGGAAGAGACCGGCATTGCCTCCATTAGTGTCCACCCAGGCGTTCGTGGGGAAACCGATGATGTGAAATATGAAGCCAACGATGATCCACGGCAGAGACACCTTGGCGTAGATAGAAGCATCCGAGAAACCCATAACGAGTAGCGAACTCACAAATTCCTTTTTGAATGTTAATATTTCACAAGTACTAGTTGCAGCACTGTCTTGTTGAATCGCCTTCCAAGTTCGCCTCCGTTGTCAATTAGTCAAGAAGTATATTGTTAGACGACAGGTAAACGGTGGGTTTCTAAGCACTCCCAAGTTCGTTACCACGAGATATCACAATAACAAACTCCTAACAAAGAGAGCCGGTTGTCACTCAGCAAATCATCGACTGACGTGTGCTGCAGCATCCATCCTAACCTTCCTCCGTACCGCGGGATGAGGAGAGAGATGCTACAGGTCGATACTCCGTGGGATGGTAAGAACACACAAGGTGTTGTGGTGCAACACTGTTGTGGTGTTGCCTTTGGAAACGACATTTCTGAATGATCTCAACGGGAAGTGAACTATGAAGGCCTGTTTATGACGGATGAGTAAAAGGTGCTATATCTAATCAAATTGAGTAAGATTGTTTCGAAATGTTGCACCGATGACGTATTGAAGTGTTTTGCACTTTTGATCACTTGCATATTCAATACAACAAATCATCATGAAGTGAGATAACGATTGTCCAAGTGTATTCAGCGTAATTTACTAACTATGAGACATGGCTTGCTAACCTGATCCGCCAGGTTTTCCCGTGCCATGATATTTACAGTGAATGTTCTCGCCCCTCTTACTGTCACCGGCCTGAACGGATCCAGTAGTCCCAGTAGGCAACATCGTTACGACGTCATGGTTACGACGTCATTGATCGGTGCTGTTGATGCCGATCACTGAAGTCTCTGTTGAATCAACTTTTGAAGGGCCACGTCATGCAGGAGCATTGCTGGGAGTGGACTTAGACAAGATATATTTACATATTATGCAAACTGTATGGTTGGTGGTGTTGCCTTTAGGGCAGAGTGTGTTGAACGTTTCGGTGAACACTGATCTTCAGCTATCCTGTCATCACTGTTTTGCATTTTACGCACTATGGCATCAGATACTGAGACTAATTTCTCAGGCATTGGCGGTTTAAATAATAATATCGTCTTCTCAGTCTCAGCGTTTGTATTCATTCAACACGCCCGCTGGTTACATCATCTTTATGCATAGAACACAGTGTTTGTGTTCATCATCTTTATGAATACAACACGGTGTTTGTGTTCATCATTCAACACGCCCCGCTGGTTACATCATCTTTATGCATAGAACACAGTGTTTGTGGTTACATCATCTTTATGAATAGAACACAGTGTTTGTGTTCATCATTCAACACGCCCCGCTGGTTACATCATCTTTATGAATAGAACACAGTGTTTGTGTTCATCATTCAACACGCTCCGCTGGTTACATCATCTTTATGAATAGAACACCGTGTTTGTGTTCATCATTCAACACGCTGGTTACCACTGGTTACATCATCATCTTTATGAATAGAACACGGTGTTTGTGTTCATCATTCAACACGCCCGCTGGTTACATCATCTTTATGAATAGAACACATGTTTGTGTGTTCACAGCTGCTGGTTACATCATCTTTATGCGAATAGAACACAGTGTTTGTGTTCATCATTCAACACGCTCCGCTGGTTACATCATCTTTATGAATAGAACACGGTGTTTGTGTTCATCATTCAACACGCTCCGCTGGTTACATCATCTATATGCATAGAAAACAGTGTTTGTGTTCATCATTCAACACGCCCGCTGGTTACATCATCTATATGAATAGAACACAGTCTTTGTGTTCATCATTCAACACGCTCCACTGGTTACATCATCTTTATGAATAGAACACGGTGTTTGTGTTCATCATTCAACACGCTCCGCTGGTTACATCATCTTTATGAATAGAACACGGTGTTTGTGTTCATCATTCAACACGCTCCGCTGGTTACATCATCTTTATGAATAGGAACACGGTGTTTGTGTTCATCAACAGTGTTTGTGTTCATCATTCAACACGCTCCGCTGGTTACATCATCTTTATGAATAGAACACAGTGTTTGTGTTTATCATTCAACATCTCCGCTGGTTACATCATCTTTATGAATAGAAATAGAACACAGTGTTTGTGTTCATCATTCAACACGCTCCGCTGGTTACATCATCTTTATGAATAGAACACGGTGTTTGTGTTCATCATTCAACACGCTCCGCTGGTTACATCATCTTTATGAATACAACACGGTGTTTGTGTTCATCATTCAACACGCTCCGCTGGTTACATCATCTTTATGAATACAACACGGTGTTTGTGTTCATCATTCAACACGCTCCGCTGGTTACATCATCTTTATGAATAGAACACAGTGTTTGTGTTCATCATTCAACACGCTCCGCTGGTTACATCATCTTTATGAATAGAACACAGTGTTTGTGTTCATCATTCAACACGCTCCGCTGGTTACATCATCTTTATGAATAGAACACAGTGTTTGTGTTCATCATTCAACACGCTCCGCTGGTTACATCATCTTTATGAATAGAACACAGTGTTTGTGTTCAACATTCAACACGCTCCGCTGGTTACATCATCTTTATGAATAGAACACAGTGTTTGTGTTCAACATTTAACACGCTAGAACCGCTGGTTTCACATCATCTTTATGCATAGAACACAGTGTTTGTGTTCATCATTCAACACGCTCCACTGGTTACATCATCTTTATGAATAGAACACAGTGTTTGTGTTCATCATCATTCTGAATAGAACACGCTCCGCTGGTTACATCATCTTTATGAATAGAACACAGTGTTTGTGTTCAACATTCAACACGCTCCGCTGGTTACATCATCTTTATGAATAGAACACAGTGTTTGTGTTCAACATTCAACACGCTCCGCTGGTTACATCATCTTTATGAATAGAACACAGTGTTTGTGTTCAACATTCAACACGCTCCGCTGGTTACATCATCTTTATGAATAGAACACAGTGTTTGTGTTCAACATTCAACACGCTCCACTGGTTACATCATCTTTGTGCATAGAACACAGTGTTTATCTCACAGAACACCTGCTAGATTACTCATATGGTCTCATAACCTTTAGTTCACACGCATATCTGTTATCTGTATAAAGGACACGCATTCCTACTTTTTTTATCACGGCCATGGACGGTTAATGTTTTCCTTCCATTAGTTTAAGAGGTTTCGCAAAGAGACAGTGGAGACTGGCGTCCTTGATTGCCCTGATGTGATAAAGGGGCGGCATTTCAGACTGGTCATGTGCACGTGGTATCTGGTCGCCCGGGATTGGGATGTAGTTTACATTTCCTGTAGACTGATGGGTGTCGTGGGGTCAGTGGAGGTGTAGAGATGTAGACACAGATGGTTCTGTAGCGGGGTCAGTTGGAGGTGTAGAGATGTAGACACAGATGGTTCTATAGCGGGGTCAGTGGAGGTGTAGAGATGTAGACACAGATGGTTCTGTAGCGGGGTCAGTGGAGGTGTAGAGATGTAGACACAGATGGTTCTGTAGCGGGGTCAGTGGAGGTGTAGAGATGTAGACACAGATGGTTCTGTAGCGGGGTCAGTGGAGGTGTAGAGATGTAGACACAGATGGTTCTGTAGCGGGGTCAGTGGAGGTGTAGAGATGTAGACACAGATGGTTCTGTAGCGGGGTCAGTGGAGGTGTAGAGATGTAGACACAGATGGTTCTGTAGCGGGGTCAGTGGAGGTGTAGAGATGTAGACACAGATGGTTCTGTAGCGGGGTCAGTGGAGGTGTAGAGATGTAAGCACAGATGGTTCTGTGGCTTAGCGGGGTCAGTGGAGGTGTAGAGATGTAGACACAGATGGTTCTGTAGCGGGGTCAGTGGAGGTGTAGAGATGTAGAACACAGATGGTTCTGTAGCGGGGTCAGTGGAGGTGTAGAGATGTAGACACAGATGGTTCTGTAGTAGAGATGGGGGCCAGTGGAGGTGTAGAGATGTAGACACAGATGGTTCTGTAGCAGGGGTCAGTGGAGGTGTAGAGATGTAGACACAGATGGTTCTGTAGCTGTTGCTTGTCTGTCTGGATACCGTGAAGGATAGGTCCCCGTTGCTTGTCTGTCTGGACACTGTTGTTTGTCTATGTCTGTCTGGATACCGTGAAGCATAGGTCCCCGTCACACTGTTGTTTGTCTATGTCTGTCTGGATACCGTGAAGGATAGGTCCCCGTCATCTGTTGTTTGTCTGTCTGCCTGTCTGGATACCGTGAAGGATAGGTCCCCGTCACACTGTTGTTTGTTTATGTCTGTCTGGATACCGTGAAGGATAGGTCCCCGTCATCTGTTGTTTGTCTGTCTGCCTGTCTGGATACCGTGAAGGATAGGTCCCCGTCACACTGTTGTTTGTCTGTCTGCCTGTCTGGATACCGTGAAGGATAGGTCCCCGTCACATTGTTGCTTGTCTGTCGGCCTGTCTGGATACCGTGAAGGATAGGTCCTCGTCACACTGTTGCTTGTCTGTGTGCCTGTCTGGATACCGTGAAGGATAGGTCCCCGTCACCCTGTTGTTTGTCTATGTCTGTCTGGATACCGTGAAGGATAGGTCCCCGTCACACTGTTGTTTGTCTATGTCTGTCTGGATACCGTGAAGGAAAGGTCCCCGTCACACTATTGCTTGTCTGTCTGCCTGTCTGGATACCGTGAAGGATAGGTCCCCGTCACACTGTTGTTTGTCTGTCTGCCTGTCTGGATACCGTGAAGGATAGGTCCCCGTCACACTGTTGCTTGTCTATGTCTCTCTGGATACCGTGAAGGATAGGTCCCCGTCACACTGTTGTTTGTCTATGTCTGTCTGGATACCGTGAAGGATAGGTCCCCGTCACACTGTTGCTTGTCTGTCTGGATACCGTGAAGGATAGGTCCCCGTCACACTGTTGTTTGTCTATGTCTCTCTGGATACCGTGAAGGATAGGTCCCCGTCACACTGTTGTTTGTCTATGTCTGTCTGGATACCGTGAAGGATAGGTCCCCGTCACACTGTTGTTTGTCTATGTCTGTCTGGATACCGTGAAGGATAGGTCCCCGTCACCCTGTTGTTTGTCTGTCTGGATACCGAGAAGGATAGGTCCCCGTCACACTGTTGTTTGTCTATGTCTGTCTGGATACCGTGAAGGATAGGTCCCCGTCACACTGTTGTTTGTCTGTCTGCCTGTCTGGATACCGTGAAGGATAGGTCCCCGTCACATTGTTGCTTGTCTGTCTGTCTGGATACCGTGAAGGATAGGTCCCCGTCACACTGTTGCTTGTCTGTCTGCCTGTCTGGATACCGTGAAGGATAGGTCCCCGTCACACTGTTGTTTGTCTATGTCTGTCTGGATACCGTGAAGGATAGGTCCCCGTCACACTGTTGTTTGTCTATGTCTGTCTGGATACCGTGAAGGAAAGGTCCCCGTCACACTATTGCTTGTCTGTCTGCCTGTCTGGATACCGTGAAGGATAGGTCCCCGTCACACTGTTGTTTGTCTGTCTGCCTGTCTGGATACCGTGAAGGATAGGTCCCCGTCACACTGTTGCTTGTCTATGTCTCTCTGGATACCGTGAAGGATAGGTCCCCGTCACACTGTTGTTTGTCTATGTCTGTCTGGATACCGTGAAGGATAGGTCCCCGTCACACTGTTGCTTGTCTGTCTGGATACCGTGAAGGATAGGTCCCCGTCACACTGTTGTTTGTCTATGTCTCTCTGGATACCGTGAAGGATAGGT